GCCTGCCCACCTCCACTCACTTTGGGGGTGTCAAGTTGACCGACCAACTCATTACACCCACCACTACAATAAGAGTTATTCCGTTTTTTGTAGAGCTACCCATTGGTTGTGGAGCTCATGGTCCATCTATCTCTTTACCCCCCTACTACCAAGCAGAAGAGAAGTTTGAAGAGAATGAGGCTTTGTTAGAGCTGGTAGGAATGAATACCAGTGGATGGATGGGATTGTGGGAAGCCATTGTAAGAGAGATTTCTAAGATGCCGCTAGAAAAGATGCCAGTGTTGTTAATGCCAATCGATAAGATTGATCTTGGATGGTTGAAGTCGGAGTTAGATAGGATAGGTACACCGAATTCGGGCTAGAGAGAGAATTTGGTTGCTATAATAACCTGGCCGACCATTGTGGGAATTATACTAATGAAATTTTTTGGCCTTGCTGGTTTGGTGGTGGTTGAAGAACGTGCGGTGTTGTTGACCAGGCAGAATAAACTGGCACGGGAGTGCATGAGTGAAGGAGGATTCAGTTAGTGCACTTTACCAAGGTAGGTCGACCCGAGTGCATTGGGACCCCTAACTGATATTTAAGAAGAGTCCATGATTGTCGTGGAAGGACCTGAACCAACAAAAGATTCGACAAAGTCTGTTGTGAAGGCAAGACAAAATCGGAGGGACAGATTTACAAAATAAATCAAATTTTTTTTTATTTTTAGTAATGAGACTGAAAAAATTGTTAAGGAGTGTCGCGAACTTCAAAACAAAACAAAAAAAAAAAAAGGGAAGAACCCTCGAACTAGTGAACTATGTGAAAAGGTTCTATCGCACTAGATCACCAAAACAGTGAACTTTAACCGGAAGTTGCATGTACATATGTATCGTAAGCACAATGAAAATGTAAATGGGCATAATGAGCCCTGAGAAGAACTAAGGACTCTACCTTTGTATGCTGGAAGAGAAGTATGTAGCCCCCTAGTAAGAAGCATGTTGGACTGGGTTTTCTCATATTTTGTTGATATGAAAGCTTGTGTGTCATTTACTAGTAAATGGCAGATGGGTAGGAGAGGAAATGTGACAGAGAGTCTGGGAAACACACACACACACACACATATATATATATATATATATATATATATATATATATATATATATATATATAACATATATATTGATTTTAATAAAAGTCTCTAAATGTCTCATCAGGAGACAATCGTTGGATTAAAAAGAATAATAACGATATTTAAAAGGGGAAACACACTAAAATAACAAACAAGTATTTTGTAAAACTGTAAATAAATAGCGAGGACAGTTAAAATAAAATATCCCCAACAGATTTTAACCTTATAAATTCTTTCTGCCGGCAAGAAGGTTTTCTAAATCTATACAGACCGATTCCAAAATCTTCAAATGATTATTGGAATCCAAACATCTTTTTTATACAACTTGCAAGCTATATTCTCAACTAAATGTTGAGCAATAGCCGATTCCATATTCATGGGGAAGATTATTCTATCTATCTTACCAAGTCGTATTTTGATAAATTCTAGTTTCCAGATTAGTTCTAGATTTTGATTGAAGATTTAGAAACCTTCTCTCTCAAGTGAAAGAGTTGGGGATATTTATTTTACACTAAAATTTTAATAACAAACAAGTATATATACTTGACTAAAGTGCTCTAACTTTTAGGGGTTTGTCTTTGTAGGGTATATATATATATATATATATAATATAAATAGTGAAATTGAGGATTTGAATACATTAAATTAGAACATTTTCTTTATTGATTTATAAATAAAATATTGAATATGGGTCCCATGAACAGATTTTTTTTTGATTAAAAAAGTTGAGACCTTATAAATTTTGTTTCTGCAGTTAGAGTAAGGTTTTAGCTAAATCCTTATAAAATTCTAGAAGAGAAACTAAAGGCGGGAGGAGGAATGCCAAAAAATCCCTTCAAATGATTCATATATCATTCTGACACAATTTATAAGATAATAATTAGAATCTAAACCACTTTTTTTTCTTTTCAACCGTTTCTCTTCTCATTCTTTTCTGCTATATAAAAGACATTATTCTCATGTTTGTCCGACAGATAAATTTTTTTTTTTTGCTGCATTCTAAATTTAGCCTCCCCAGATGTCCATATTCATGGGGTGAAGATAGCATATTCTATCTATCTTAAATCATCAGAAGCAAATTAAACCAGCGGACTGGTTTTAATCTATGGATGCTCATGGGACCTTAATAAGTTCAAAGTTGGACCGAGTATTAACCCCCCCTGAATGAAGGACTGATGGTGAAAGTTTAGATTTGTCACAGATGGCATTAAAGGTAGATTTGAAAAAAAATACCCTGTGGCAACATCTATTAAAATGTGTGAGGTCTACTAGGCATATTTTGGCATGCATTTTGGGACCAATACAAACACTGAGCACCTCATTTTACCTGTGAACACTGCAAAAGAACTCTTGAAGAAGGTAAGACTGAAAATTTTGCTTGTTTATAATTTTTCAATAAAACTAGGTGAAATATATTTGTATTTTTGTACTCATATTTTTATTTTGCAGGTACAAAGGGGAAAATAGAGCCATGAAATTCACAATCCTATGAATTTGGAGGGAACCAACTGACCACTCAAGCAATTGCTTCTACATGGTGGACTCTTCCAAATTTTGAGCTAGCAAGAATGTATGTGCTGTCATATATTCAGATGTTCTGTCATCGATTGCCCCAGTGCAACAATGCCCTGAGCTCTCTATATGCACTCCTCCAAAGAGAGAGCAGCGATTCAGAAGAGGGTGAAGTCACTGATCCAGATTACAGAGGTGCAGCTGTGGAGTGAAACCCATATTGCCCCAACCAAAAAGACCTCGATGACCTCATCAGAGATCTTGGTCTCGCAAAGTTTGAGGTAATTAGAATCACCTGTAATCTCAGCAAGTGACACCTCTTCATCAACAGCTCATCCAGGAGCCTCAAAAAGCCATGCTGCTTCATAACAGAAACATGTATCTATCTTTTCCTCTGGCTCACTTGGTGTGGTTTAAAAGGAATACAGCAGTGTCAAGATGTTGCTAGATACCTTGAAATATAAAGAGTATAGCTTGGAGGTTATCAGAAACTTCAATATAGTGTCATTTCTGGTGGGTCTTCAAGGCAGATTTACCAAGTTTCCATGTTATTTTTGCCTTTAGGACAGCAGGGTCACAGAGGCACACTACCACAGGTAGGACTGGCCATAGCAGACAGAGTTCAGTGTGGTGATGAACAACATCAAATGGGAGCCACTGTTGGAGCTCTAGAAAGTATTGTTCCCTCCAAAAATTGGGCCTGATGAAACAATATGTCACAGCTCTAGATAAGGTGTCTGCAGCCTTTAAGTACCTTTGAGACTTTGTCCCTAAGCTGTCTGTATCAAAAATCAAAACTGGTGTCTTCAACATACCAAAAATAAAGATCATAGAATGCAAGGAATTCTCCAAGAAGATCATTATGATGGAGAAAGCCATGTGAAACAGCTTTGTCACAATATTTTAGGACTACCTGGGGACTCACAAGGCTGAAAACTATGTAGAGTTTATTGAGACCTTGGTGAAGAACTATGGAAAAGTGGGCTGCAGGATTTCTCTCAAAGTACATATCCTTGAGGCTCATCTTGATAAATTCAAGGAGAACATGGGGGTGTACTTGCACCGTGACTTTGAATGCCACTACCAAGGCTCATATCATGAAAACATAATGGAAGACTATATTTCAGGGCTGATTTGTGAAAATAATTTACAGTATAAGCATAAATTGTGAAAAACTATTCATTTCTAAATTTTTTGTTGTCACTATTGTGTAATCCTAGAATAATTAAATGCTATTTTTGAATCATATGTCAGTTACTTTGCATGAACGAGGATGTTCACATTCACCACTTTTCCTAATGGGAATAAGTAAATTTCAGAAATATCATTAACCTGGTCACAAAAGCAAAGTTTGAAGGAAATATTAGACATTTTTCTTACTTTCTAAGTGTAAGCAAATAGTAAATAACAGTAGCTACCCAAGGACAAAATTCATGTTACCATTTTCAACACTTCAGATTATCACAGAAAAACACATTTCATCTTCAGTGAAAATTCTTCACAAAGAAATATTTTTCTGTCTGAAATACAGGTAATGATAACAAAAGCTTTGACAATTTTTTTATGTTCTTCATACTTACAAATTATTGAATAATCAAGTGGTCTTTTTTAGTCAATTCCAACATTGATTATCTTCCAAAAGGATTTTCAAGTCATCACTTTCAAATTCTTATAGTCTATAATTTGTCCTTCAAGTCAAATTCACCTTTGTTGAACTTCACAAACTATTCATTGCACATAGTACTTTCAACTGAACTATCTCCATTATAAATCACCATTTTTGCTTCTTCACAACTTTAAAAGGAAAAAGCATGCAGTATCACAAGTATATCTTGTATACTGCCATTTGTTTTCCTCTGCACAGGATAAATGTAGACAGAAAATTTAGAACTTGTTTACAACCATGTATACAATATCTAGTTTTTGAAAAAGAAGGCACTGGGTGTATTTTTACACACCTGAGATAAACTTTTCCTGTAAGAGAAAGATTATCTTTGTTATTGCTATATTCCGTGCTAATAGGAATATATATTTGAAAAAACACGATGGATAAAATAAGTAAAGCTTTATTGTAAAACCAGTACAATAAGAATAAAGGTAACAGTTATGCACAAGGTCGTCGTAAGTCAATCCAGTAGTGAGTGCTACTTTTGGAAGATCGGTAGTTCTCACGTAAGTCTGAGTTGTACTCAACAGATTCTAGCTAATCTCCATAATCCGTTGACTTACAGATACTTATAGGTAGTTACTACCTATAGTGTAGTCACTCATGGGGGTGACAGGTTATTCCATTACATCAGTTATTTAAGTTGGATGAATACAAAAAAAAATAAAGAAACTCCCTAAATGTAACAACTGATATAAAATGCATTCATACCATAAGAATCTGGTCCCCAGCCATCAGTCTGCCATCTCGATGAGCTGCACCATCAGCATATACTTCATGGATGATAATTGATCCCTATAATTAAGAAATGTATTTTTAATCATAGCTATGAACTTATTAAATATCAATACCTTAAATAATGTTTTTAAACAGTAAAAAATTTCTAAAAAGAATTTAATTAAAATCTTTTTAAAAAATGTCAAATATGAATAAAGTCAAATACTTTTTAAAGCCATACTGCACAATGTGATCTGCACCCAGGATCCCCATGTCCTTCAAGTGATTCTTCAAACTGTTTTAGTTTTCTAATCCATGTTTGTACTTTTTGCAAAAGCAACTTTTCAATACATTTTCATAAAAGTATGAGACTAATGGTAAAAATAACTAGACAATAATTATAATTTAATAATACTTAACAACTGAATCATTAAAATGAAAATTCATTTTCATTTTTAAAAAAATCCCTTATTTTAAGATGGTATAAAAGTTAAAAATTTATAACAATAATTTATGACAATTTTTAAAACTACTTTTTCTTGAGTATATAATTTTAATTTCAAAATCAAGTTCTAAGTCCATGCTATTCAAAGTGTGGTATATTTACCAATGCTAATATGCAAATCACAGACTACTAATATATAGTTGTTGATACACAGTTCTTTTTGAAAGATGGAAGGTGATTTTTGAAACTACATTTCTTGGTTCGTTTTGGATAAAATTAAAAAGCATATATATGCTGAGCTTGCTGAAATAGCTTTGAAATCTCCTCTACCATTCCTTCTTGCAAAACTAGCTTTTCACTCATGAGTGTCATTCAAAATACAATGTATATTCATTTGCAATTGCCTGTGGCATTGTGTTCAGTTGAACAAAGATGAGATGACAAAGAAACAGTGGCTTCAGTATTCTCATTAGAAATATGCTATCTTTTATTATTTACTCATAATTATTTTTCATTTTGTTACTTATTAACATACACTTTATCTTTGATAAAAGGTTTGCTTATTTATTGTTTTTAATTAATTTTGTAATATTGTATTTGTTTACAAGATAAATATAATTAATTTAAATTTCTTTAACATACATTAGAATGAAAGTTATCTATAATAGACAGGTGGGTAGTATTTTGTTGATAACTGCTTGTTTCAATAACTGATCTGACCATAAAAATATACTTATATTTACAAGGGAATATTGTAATGTATCACAAGTCAGTAATATTTAAAAAAATGGACTGACAAAATGATTTTTATTTGAAAACAAAATATACCTTACATTTTATCCATAGTAAGAAAATGGATTAAGAAAAATGATCTTTTATTTTAAACAAAATAGTATATTGCATGTTGCCCATAGTAGAGATATAAAAATGAAAAGTGAAAAAAAAAAAATTAGTAATGAGTAAATAATCATATCACATGCTTGGGTAAAGGAGAGAGATGAGACGACCTTTCTCTACACTTATCTTTTTAAATTTTCTAATGTTATTGTATTTTACTCAGATTGAATAAGACATAAATTGAGTGATGGAAGGATGTAACACTACAAGGAAGAGTCAATCTTTTAAGAGGCTTAACAATGGATCTCCTGTTGGACTTAATAAAAGTAAAGTGTAATATCAATGATAAACTCACAAAAATTAAATTAATCAAAAATATCTACTTAATTAAAAAAGAAATTGTATGGAATTCAACCCAGCCTGTTTGTTACAAAAATAGTGGCAGAAACTAGACACTCAATAGAGTTCAATGAACAGATATCAATCTAGTTACTAAGACATTCAACTTTAATGGATCAGAGACTAGCCAAACTTTCATAAACTAAGTGTTGGCAGTTGAGAGGAGAGAAAGAGAGAGCAGTTACAAGCTGTAAGTACTACTGACAGTGAAACAAGTGCAGAGATTTGTTTATGTATAAGAGCAAAAGAGTCACTGGTGATCCTGCTTACTATTTTGCAGAGGAAGATACAGTGTTCTCCTTCTATTTTTTGACAAGCAGTGTGTTGACTGGAGTACATATTTGCAATGAGAAAAAAATGTAGCAACCTAACTAGATTTGTATAAGGGGGGGGTTAAATGTTGACTGATCATTTCAATGAACTGGGTAAGTGGTCTGAAGTTTTTTCTGCTGCAAAATCCTAGACAAAACTTTGCTTCATGACTACTTTCATCAAGCCCCTAGTAAAACAACATTCAAGTCTATAACTTAAATAATCATCTATGATCACCCAACCCTGATGTGCATAGTTCCAGACAGGAGATCTCAATTTTTTTCTGTTTTCTTCTGACTAACTGAATAGTAATGAATAAATCAAAACACCAAGAGAAACCAAAAACTTGCTGTGCTGCATTTTTTCTTCCTCAATCTTATATTGCATTCACTCATCTTTTTCTTTTCATTTAACTTCTTCACTTTTTCCCTTTAAGTCAGCAGAAAAAGAGGACTCAATAGTGAAGGGAAGTAAGCAATATTGTGATCAACAGATACCTTCCATCCCTCAAACAATTAGGTACAGTGGCAAATTTATTGACAATACTCAAAGTAGATGAGGCACCACATTTTGAGTAGTTACAACTAGTGCCATGACTAATAAGGCACCCTCTCCATTGTGCATATACACACTCCATTGTGTATATGTTTACAAATGGTGCTGTCTAAAACCAGAACCATTCTGAAAAGCTACAACTGAAATATCAAATATCCTAACTGCTAGCTGATAAATCAGTTAAAAAGTAAAAATGGATGATTTTTCTCTTTGCTACACAGTAAAGACTTGAACCAGTTGAGTACAGTAGAAAACAGGTAAACTGTGCAGGCTAGATGTAAGATAAGACCATCTTTCATTTTTTTCTTTTTTTTGCAACAACTTTGCACTTCTGCAGGTTTTATATAAAAAGTATAAAACTCAGTAATATGGCACAAGGAGATGTTAACCCACCCAGCCCTCAAAGTATTTATGATTCCCATGTTCACAGGTATAAAGGCCAAGCCAAGGTCATGGTTGAGTACTCTGAAAAAGAAGTCAAGGATTTATAAACTTACAGGAAAGGAAATGGTTTGAGAAGCCCATGAGTTCTTTGAAGGATTCATGTCAGAGTGGATTGGGCTGTATAGAGAGGTGTGACCAGAAGCCACGTGGGAAGAATTCCGTGGAAAAGCTAATCAAACTATACAGAAATGATGAAAGCATGGCTGAGGAGGTTTGTGCTCTTGTGAGAATGAATGAATCCCTGACAGTAGAATTTTTGGGTTGGCTAAAATTGCATTCACAGATACAAATCAGTGAGCAGCTATCCAAATGCAGTTGGACTTCATGGACTCCATAAATGCTAATCTGTGAAGATATGACTAGGGTAGAAAAAATAACTACATGAGAGGAGACACTGAAAATGGCCATGATACATAACTGCCAGTATGAATAAAGAGATTGAATCATGACAGCCTTGATAGAGGAAAAAGTAGAATTGAGGATGGAGGATTTGCTAAGGTTGTGAGAAATGAGGGCATGTGACAGTAGTCTGTCCTGAGAAAGAAGTAGTGAGCAAAACACGTTAGTCCTTGTAGGATAAGTTGCTTGAACCCTGTTCTCACCCCCACCAAGTGCATGGCTGGTGTGCTGGAGATGCAAGAGACCCTGGGAAAAAGACTGCTTTACAAGAGAAGGACTACTACACAAGTACTAAAATGGAGACAATAGAGGCATACAATGACACAGTATCAAATACAGGGTAAAATAGCCCTCTATCTCTCACTAGGAAAAAAGAGAGGCATCTTCCAGCCCAAAGCAAGAGTACTTCTAACTCATTTCTTACGAGCTTAGCAAATCCCCCATTTCTTCTCCTATTAAAACAGAACAGAAATCAGCTGAATATTGTAAAAAAATGAAGATGGTAACTCAGAAATATAATGGAACTGGTGTCTGCATGGATCAATGGATTGGGTAATTTTGTGAAAAAATATCTGTATTTGCTGATAGTGATTGTGACAAACCTTACAAACCAGGCTTCAGTTTCTGGAGTATGTCTAAACTTAGATTGACATGCTCTCCATAGGCCATCTGACCTCAAGGATGATAATACATGCACATTTTAGGAACCTACTACTAAAGGTCTGATTGAAATTGCCACAGTAGCTCAAATTCCTGGTGGATCTGATGGCTGACCTGTGACATTATTACCATTCTATGGGATGCATCACTATGGCAGGTGAAAACCAGTTTCTGGTACTAGTGTTGTTCTCGCTGCTGACTGGAGAAAGCACTTTTGAAGTATTTGAGCAAATAAACTTGCCTATTTCTCATTCACAGCCAAGCAGTATCGGAGGTGTGGTTACTAGACAAATTAGAATCAGAAGTCATAGGCTTTGAGTACAGACAATCCCACTAGGAACCTGTTCCTCTAATATATCTTATGAGCATCAATCCCACATGCTTTGTAGAATTGTTTAAGAAAGACTGAGAAATGATTCAAAGTGAAGTGTTGTTATGTGCCATAAAATTACTGGATGAGATATGGGCAGCAATCACACTAGAAAGAAAGGAACACATAACATAAGTCTGTAATAAGTCAACTAGCAAACTGAACTTAGTACTCCTGCTAACTTAGAATAACTGATACATTTTTCAGCCATTTTGAAAATTCTAAATTTTCTCTCTTACTATCAAAAGGAAAAAAAATATACAAGACTCGGGATGTCTTCTTGACACTCAGTAAAATAACAATGGTCATTAGACCTCTAATGAGAGAATTCCTCAGTGTGAAAGATCTCCTGCAACTCATAAGTTGAAGTTGGTAAAGAGCAGAGAAGAGATGCCAAGAGTGGGTTACACAACCAATTTATATGGCCTGCTCATCTTTGGAAGGGACTGGCATCTTAGTCATAAACAGGGTCTTGCTAAAAATATTGGTTAAGGAAAATGAACTGTACAAGAAATCTTACCAAGGTGTTCAATGGTGCAAAGTGCAAGCAACTTGAGATGGTAGAAACTTTACTGATGGCCAGCATGGAGGGAGGACCAATGATGGGACAGGTAGTCAGCCATCATCCCTCCTCCTTGAGCAAAGAAGCAAAGATGAACTGCTGAAACTAGAGATACCAAAAGTGATTGTTTAAGGTTCAATGTGGTGGAGTCGATGGAAGAGATGATAATTTGGAGTGAACACAGGAAAAAATGCAGAGGACAATTGCATGTTACCAATAGTAAAATAATGAACTGAAAAAGGGATCTTATACTCAAAACAAAATATACCTTGTATTGTGGGGACCTACTTACAAATGGACTCTTCCACACCTATATAATATGGCCACTAACTCTGAGTAAAGCGAGTCACCAAGTGAGGGTTACCGAGTAGTAGACACTGAGTGAATGAATGAGTGTGTCAGGACACCAGTGAGAGAAAGTACTCTCCAGTCCACATTTACCTTTGTACTACATTTCCGAGAATATACTATTTAACCTTATATCCAAGCCTGTGTTATCTTTCTATGGTTCTACACCATAACACCTTGATAAAAAGACTTTTTACAAAAAAATTAATTGAAAATATTTCATTAAAAAAGTAATTTGCTTAATAGAATTATTTGCAATCTGATTTGTCTTGCTTGTTACTTGCTAAAATAGTGGCAGAAACTAGACATGCAACGGAGTGTCAATCTAGTTGAGAAAGTCTGATTTTGGTGGACTGTGGAATGTAGTCAGAAAATTAATACCACTATTGTGTGAGGAGAGAAAGTACATGCATGATCATGAGTGTTCACAGCTGAACATCTGATGTAACCAATATAAGCAGTTAAGATTTGTCAGTGGAAGAAAGTAACTGAAGAGCTCATTTTTTATTATTTTATCATATTTATTATTTTTTTTTTCCTTTTCTGTGGACCTAACTGTAAAACAGTGAATAAACCAAAAGATCAACAAAAAAATGTTGTTATGCTACATTTTCTCTTCCCAGGACTTGTTTTTCATTCATTCCTCTTTTAACCCCAACACCTTTTCCCATTCTATCACCAGAAACAGATGATTTGGTAGTGAAAGAAAAAAAAAGAGAAATTGACAAACACTATCAATTAAACAAGCACTTGGTTGGCATAGAAAATTTACCAACAATACCCAAGTTAGTGCCACTGCAGCCCAAGTATATATTATATTACAACTAGTGCCATGGTTAACATAGCCCCCCCCCCCTTACCCATGTGCACTTCAGCATATATATGTTTGCAGTTACAGTTGATAATGAGCAATTCAAGTATTACGTGAGAATAATCAATGTTAATGATGTGTGAGAGCCAACACACTAATAAAATAACCCAATCAAGAATTGATTGAGACTCTTGTGCCATCTTCATTATATTAGTTGCTTTGATGTGTAACTTCCATATAAGTTTAAAAAAAGAATAGGAATGACAAGAAAACTGCTACTAATGATCTGAAAGAGACAAATGTCTGGGGGTAGAAACTGAGGAAAGAGGGTTTGGAGAACTTAACAATCACAGGACATACTGAAAGCAAGAGAATCAGGGAGAGAATAAGTAAGTAACGTACTTAACAAGTTTCAGTGAATGGCTGGCAGAACAAAGATAAAGGGGAGTACTAAAAGGACATGAGTTAATTAGAGCAACAAAAAACAGGAAGTTGTAGAGCACCATGATCGTCCATATATCCTGAAAGGACATGAATGATGAAAGAAGAATAAGTGGACAGTTTACATGGTTTGCAATAGTTTATCTGTTAAATGAAATGAACCAAAAATAAATCAAAAGCTAGTTTTCCCTCAAAGGTGATACAATATGAATGGGAGTATAAAAAGAGAATTCTATACTATAAGCCCCTTTCAAAGAAGTAAACAATTCAAGCAACTATTGCTCCCAGTTAAACCAAATGTAAACACCAATCAATAAAAAGCATTCAGAATTAGTTAGATTTCCTAAACTGCAAGTTTTTTGTTCACTTAGAGAAAATTATTAGTTTCACTAGAATGTTTTTCTCATATCCACAATATTCACCAGAATTTAGATTAACTCTTTACAGAATACCCTTAAAAAAAATTTAAATTCTCTGGAAGACTGAAAGAGGCTTCTGGGTCGTTCTTTGTTGAGAAAGATCAAAACTTTGGGAAGGATGAAATTAAGAAATTGACTAAAACATGGCAGAAGATAGTGGAACAAAATGGTAAAAATTTTGTTCAATAAAAAAATTATTTTTACTTCATAGATTGAAAAAGCTTCTTTTTTACTTTTTGTTGTCCAATAATTAATAGAAATTTAGTGAAGTTGTGACATTAATGTTTTTGAAAACTTCTGTTTATCAGAGTTATTTAGATTTATCCACTTCTATTCTAAATTGAGGAACAATATAAGTTTCTGTTTTGTGATTTAAAACAATACTTTCTTTTATGTTCTAATTTCATCAAAAGTATAAACAGTAAAATATATTTACCAATAATGTGTCAGCACCACCAACAATACTCAATCCAAGACCAGATCGACCTTTATCAATTTCAAGATAGGTTTCAGTCCCTGGGACAATAGGACAGGTTAAAGGTTCAGAAACTGGACCTGATACTTTTTGAGCAGAGGAAATGGGGTCAGTAGTAGAATCACCTGAAATAAAAGATGTGAAGGTAGCAATGAAAAGTAGATATTAAATTTTAAATGTTATAATATTGCTTTGATTCCTCAGAGTCATTCATAATCTAATTTATTGATTGAGAATAGATTTTTGGATTATTTTCATTTCACATACCTAGGACACATTTTTTTAAGGCACTGGAAATATATGTTCATTTTATAAAATTAATTGACAGAATGCAGGATATGTTGGTTCAAATTTATAAAAAAAATTTCAAACTTTATTTTCTTCATCATATAAGTAAATATAGAGAAAAGTGTTATATCTATTTCATTTGATGCAACAAAAGCCTATTGCCAAATGCATCAGATGTTATTCTCTGCAAGATCATTAGCTTTTAAATCTCAAATACAAGAAAATGTATTTTCAAATAAATGACATCACATTTCAAATGTTATTTGTTAGAAAAAGAAAAGTTTTTAATGAACTCAAAAAATAAAATTCTGAAGATACACACACTATCTTTAATATGCAAGTATTATTTTAAACAAATGGATCATTATACTAAAAGTTAAACTTGTCTCTAACATATACATATATACATACATTTTATATTTTTATGATTTATTTTTGGCTACCAGCCTGAATATTCAAGGAATCTTATTAAAGAAAAAGATGTGCCTTCTGAATATTCAGGCTGGTAGACAAAAATAAATAAAAATAAAATAATGGTTTGCTATTAATCTAAATATATAATAATTTTTATATATATAAAACAGAGGATGTTTGTGTGTATGTGTGTCTGTGTGATACTTTTTCACTCAAGATCCATCCAACCAATTTTGACCAAACTTGGCACATACATTGTACAATGTAAGATAATTTTTAAAAAAATCAATGATGAGCTCAATGGTACCTCATTTTTATTTCTACGCCAGTGCATTTAGCAAAAAATTGGGGAAAACGAAAAATCAATTTCAACAGAAATTTTAAACTAAAAACTCCCTCAATTTTCAAGCAATCTAATACAAACTTCACCCAAGTGTAGCCAACAATAAGTTGATTGTTTAACAGTCATTTAACTTGATAATTGAGTCCACCCACATAGTGAAAACCCATGTAAATAGCGAAAAATGGCAGTTTTTACTGGTTTCTTTCTTATTTTTCGTTAATCTTTCAACTAATTTTCATCAAACTTTACAATTGCTTTATAAATGTATCCTCTTTTATATCCCTGGTAGCACACTGACAAATTGAATTTCAAAAACTCCAAAATAATTGTGGTCTGAAGTGGGTCTTCATGTTGCCTGTTTTACCCCTTCATGTCTTCAGCTTTTCAAAAATGTATAGCTGGCAACATTATTTTTTTTCAAAAACGTACAGCTGGCAACATTATTTTTTTCAAAAACGTACAGCTGGCAACATTATTTTTTTTCAAAAATGTATAGCTGGCAACATTATTTTTGGATGTAGTTTATCGTCATACCCAGGGTGCGGATGTAGTTTATCGTCATACCCAGGACGTGGATGTAGTTTATCACCATACCCATACTGCAAAAATGATTACCGAGTACCATTGAACAATGGAAAAGTTCATTGAAGATCCTTGACAACTCTAATGCAGGTTTGATAAAAGAATAAGTTAAAGACTTTATCAAATCAATCTGATTCCAATATCAAGAGAGAAGTTTTAAAAAAAAATATCTTTGTCAAGCTATGAAATTTTTAGTTGGAGTGTGGATGTGTTGCAAAGCAAAAAAAAATGTTAGATCTTAAATCAAGTGTCAAAACATGCGGAACTGATCACAAAGCTTAAGAGATGTTCATAAGGAAAATCAAATGAAACGGAAACCCGAATATATGAAAATAAATTTTTCAACTATTCTTCTTATTCAATAATAGGCCAGAGAGTTGGAGGAAAGGTTGAGTTGTTACTGACAGAAGCCACCCTCACAGGTTATGATTTTAAGAAAGCAAAGGTGCTGTACTGTTTTGAAGTGGGATTGTAGTTTTGTGGGCCCATGGTAATTTTCAGATATACATTGATTTTTTTTAAGGGATACTTGGAGCTATGCTTCAAAATAATGCCACTTTTAGAAAGATGATTTTTATTTATGACAATGTTCCATGACATTTGATGAAGTAAACTAATAAACATATGAATAAAATGAGTTTCTTTGAAACTCATTTTATGAAGTGGTGGCTCCAAATGAAAACTTCTAGAACATTCTGAAGAGTAAGGTTTGCATTGGTGCATGGTAAGTTACTAGCAAAGATAACATTTGGAATGCTTTTCTAGATGTTACATAGTCTGTTTCATAGGAAGAAATTAACAATAAAAAAAAAATTAATCACTCCTGAATTTAGTCTCAGAACAATGAGCATATATCTCACATTAGTGTTGTCTTTATAATTTTGCATTATTACAATGATATCCTTTTCAAATTTTTGTCTTTGTAAAGTCTCTGATGATGTGAAATCAAGTAAATTTCATAAACCTGTTATCACATAAGACTGATATGTAGTCTATAATTTATACATATGTAACATATCCTGTACATTAATATTGAAAATATTGATGTGAAACCCTTCATTAGACAACAATTGCACAATGAAATTGGTATAAACCAAGCAAGTGGACCGACCAGAAATATTTGAAACTGATATTACAAATGTAATTTAAAAAAGTAGAATATTAAAAATATTGGTTAAAAACATGGAAGCAATAAAACTATCATATTTAAATAAACATCACCAAAATAAATGTTATAAAAAGTTTATATGAAAAAATGACATCTATCTGCTCTCTTCCACTCTCTTTTAATTATCATAGGGGAAAACTTTTTGGTTTCTATAAACATGATAGATGCAAAATTACAAGGGAGTAACTCATTGCAGCTTCTCAGTCTAACATTTTCCACTGACATGAATTGGAACAATTATATCGAATCAATTGCTAGGTCTGCTGTCAGAAAAGTTGATTCAGTTTTGTGCGAGACAAGTTTTATTACCAGAATCTATCTTGAGCTTTATACATCCAAAGAAGAATCTGAAATGCTATTGGTCCTGATCTGGTTTCAATCACTTCACTACCACCACCACCATAACAGAGATCCCCTGTGACTTTTCTATAAATATTTTTGAAGTAATTGTTCAGATGAGCTTTCCCCTTTGGTACCTTGTTTTCACAGAGTGATATTAGAATTGTATCTAGGTCTCATCATTTTACTGTTGAAATTGCTAGATATAAACATAACTTGTATTTTAATACCTTCTTCTGTGTAACTTTCTTCTGGCTTCTTCCTTTCTTGTCAACTATGATTTTTAAAAATTCAAATGCAATGTTGAATTGTCACTTCTTGCTCATTGAATCCTGTGTTTTTATTGTTCTCTCTCCTCAATAACGTTTCATCAGTTTCATACACTCTCAGTAACCCTTTGCAGCTTAGAGGTTTTATCACCTTGCTTGGACTGAAATGATTATAAAAAAGAAAAACTACCTACAAGTGAAGGTATTCAGATGGCTTTATGTCAAGTCTTCATTTTGAACTTATTTATGGTGATAGTATGTCAGGCTCAGGGTAATAAAAATCAAATGTTCTGGATAGCTTTAATTTCATAATTTGATAAGAAAGACTGAATCAGTTCAAAAATTTTACTGGAGACACTGTAACTTTGCAACTTATGAAGAAGACCTGTATGCCAAACCTTGTTGAATGCTTTCGAGATGTCCAAAGCAACAGCCAGAGTTCCACCATTCTTATCTAAAGCTTGATAGACTCTTTCACCTATATTTTGTCAATACATCAGAAGTTGACCTAGAGAAACAACAGTTGAGGATTTCCAACAAGCAGGAAAGCAAGGCATTATACAGTTTAGAAAGAACAGGAGCCAGTTTTTTGGTCTTCAGATCCTCAATTTCCATAAGCATGAATTTTTGTTTTTGTCCAGCTGCTTCTTACTGCCTTTTTTCTTCTCAGCCTCAAGGTATTGATTGTTTGCTGTTCTGGCATTGGACACACTGCAGAGAAGAATCATGGGAAATTTCTCAGCACCTACAACTGTGGCCAAATAGTCTGTGATAATGCACTGTGTGACCAGAGTCTGCTGTTTCATATTGTCAGTGGAAATTTCCTTATTGACTGAGAAACCTCTCTCCACTGAGGCCTGTCCATGAGAGAGTACAAGCAATCTGCAAACAACTTTCCACAGTTCTTGATATTATTTGTTGCTAGACAAAGAAGAATAGAACAAAGTATCCAGATGGTCATCATGCTTGCTGAAATTCATGAAAGCAATATTTCCAGCAGCCCCCTCCTTGAAATCTTTGTACTGACTGATGATGTTATCACAATCAGACCTGCTGACTTTTTTTCTGTCCATCATGTGTGAAAGACACCTTTTTAGACTGTCTTCTGTGGCAAATTTTTTTTCACAAATGGAACCAGGGTTCAGTCATGCAAGTGACCTTACAAGAGGGTATCTAAGAGGGGACTTTGCCAGAAGTTTCTCAATGATGACGATGAACATTGTCTTTGTTGCAATCCTGCATGTAAACAAATCTTTTGTTGACACATTTCCTTTTTTGGATAGATTTTGCATAGCCCCATCTGCCAGAAATCCACACTCAATCTTTGCAGCATCTTTATGCATGTTTGGGTTTGACAAAATTCTTACAAATTTGGAAAATGTAATTATCTTTTTAGTGTGCTCTTTCTTTACAAATTTTCATGATCATGCTAAAAAGATTATCTGCAAGGAAGGAAGTAACGGTTTATTGCTCCAATATTTTATCAGAAACATTTAATGTCTTTTGAAACAGACACAAAAATCTGCAGTTTCACTGGAAATAAAATGTCATTCACATGACAGCACTGCAGAGGACTTGGTCTGGGGACATTTTTTGTAGGTATCACCACTGTTTTGCTAAAAAAAACAGCATACTTTGATGAAAAAGTCCCAAACTTGATGAAACAATTTTTTACCATCTAAATGTCTAGGTTATTACTAAGAGGAAAGAACAAAGTTTTTT